GGGCATGGCCGCGCCCGTGTGCCCCGGGGTCGCCTGCGAGCCGGCTGCCGCGCCGGCTGGGTCTGCTCAGTCGCCCCATCTCCCTTATGTAACTCCACATCTGTCTGTGCCTGGCAGGTCACCCTGGCCCCTGTGCTGTGTCCCGCCCGAGGGGGGGAGTCCCGGAGCCCCCCCATGGGGGCGGGCAGACCGGCAGAGCTGCGGCTGGCGGAGCACCCCCGCCCCTTTGGCCAGGCCATTCCTCCAGGCCCCCACCGCTGGCGGGAGCGTGAGGAGGAGGGGTCCCGCAGGGCAGGTTTCCCAGCTGGGTGCAGGTGTTTCCCCCCAAGCCCCTCCCGGCCCGACAGGGGCTGGGGTCCCCAAGGGCAGGAGCGCACTGGGGTTCCCAAGGAGCGGGCAGGGGTCTTGGGTGCCGGGAGCGCGGGACGGAGCGAGCGGTTGCGAGAGCGGCTCCGCGCGGCGCGGCCGAGTGGTCCCGGGAGGCGTCGGCGGCCAGGTGGGTGCCGGGAGCGCGGGACGGGAGTTCCGGGAGCCGCGACGGGGGCACGGAGGGCGAGGCTGGGCCTGGCGCACCTCTGGGTCCGGCAGTCTGGCGACGGGGACGGAATTTGGGAGCCCTGGGCGCCCCCTGCTCCGCCCTGGGGCTCCCTGGGGTCTGCAGGCCCGGCTGGGGCCGCGCCCCCTCCCCGGAGCGCAGGTAAACAGGAGCGAGGACGGGGGCGGGGCCTAGGGGGAGGGAGGGGGCGCTTGTGACGGACGGCGGGGCCGGGAAGCTGGGGTGAGCTGGGCAGAGCCCGTCGGCGAGGAGTCGGCTGTGTAGTTTGGGGGGCTGGCCACGGGGGGGAGTGCGCGTGTGTGGATGGTGAATGGGAGCCGGAGTAGGACACTCCGGTGGATACGCGAGATGGTCTGGGAGCTCAGGTGTGTTTGGAGGTGGCGCAGGAAACAGGTGTGCATAGTGGTGTGTATGGCCGCCAGGGCACAGGTGGGCCCGATCGGCAACTTTCGGTGAGGAGAAAATGTGGGCGGCCCCTGAGCCCGCAGGTGATACTGCTCACGTGTAGCTGGCTGTGTGTAGGGTAGGGAGCAGAGCCGTAGGTTAGGTGTGTCATGGAGAGGTTTGTGGCTCTGGCTGTCTTTTTGCCTGTGACATGGGTGGGGGGGTCCCTGTGGCAGGGAGGTGCCCAGTGAGTGGACCAGATGGACTGGACTCGTGGGGTGATTCCCCCCGTCAGCTGTGTGGTTGTGCTCACCGGGTCAAGCCTGTGTGGCATTTGCTGTGGGGGCTTTCTTGACTGTGGGTGGGAGCCGGTGTGTGGGGAGGAATTGCCTCAAGGGGCCTGTGGCCGGTGTGGCTGTGCCCAGCTCTGTGTGGACTGATGGTCAGTGGGTCAGGCAGCGGGCAGTGCCTGCGTTGGCTGTCAGAGCGCACTGTGAGGCTGTGGCAAGTTGCATGATTATTGGTCATGAGCAGGCTGATTCTTGAATTTGTATGGTTGTGAGTTTGTGTAGCTTGTGTGTGAGGGGCAAACACACAAATGCAGATTGTATACACAAGCCCAGCTAGATCTAGAGGCCAGTGACAACAGAATGTAAGCCCACGGGATGGCCCTGTACACGAGTGGACGGTGGAGCCTCATTTTATTGCATTTTCTTTATTGTACTTTGCAGATAATGCATTTTTTACAGGACCCTGCACCCACACAAAAATGACACCTTGATGGTGTTTCTTAGGGGCAAAACCTCTTTAAGTAGGGGCTGTACATTGTTTAGGACATAACGCAGCTGCTCACTTAGCAGGCTGCAGTCTAACAAGCCCAGAGTCACCGACTCGCTTCATGAAGATGCTTGCTGGAGGTGGGGCGTGGGCCCTCAGGTATGTCCAGGCCTGATGGGGTGCATTGCAGCAGCTGCCCAGCATCAGAGGCCAGGGATGCCTAGGGAGGGGAGTCCCGCGCACCCCTCTGCATGTCTGCTCAGCTGTCTGCGCGGCGAGCACCCACCAGGGGAGTCTGAGTTCAGAGGTCACTTGCACATCTGTGTTTGGGACTCGCCGGCGTCTGGAGGGGCCTCATGGCAGGGAGCGTGGCTGTCTGGAGGCCGTGGGCCGAGGGCGGCAGGCCCCGGGGAAGCTGGCGTGTGGGGCAGGGCCGCGCTGAGCGCGCAAGTGTGCGGAGGGCCCGCCCGCTGGGAGGCCGGGCAGAGTGGCACTGGGTCCCATTTCCAGGCAGGGCAGGAGGGCGAGGAGAACCTGGGGTAGCGGTCGGGAGGGGAGTGTGAGGTTATTGCTGAAAGGTGAGAGACTGCGTGCTGGGGTTCTCGGGGAGTGTGCCTGGGGCGTCCCGAGGGGCGCGTGTGCGTGTGCGCGCATCAGCTCGGAAGGAGGGAGCGCATGCGCCATTCCTGGGATGTGTTGCGCTGCTTTTAAGGGAGGGTTGTGTGCCCGTTTCTGAGGGGTGCGTATGGGCGTGAGCTCCCCAGGGGCACCAGCAGCTGGGCCGCAGACTGTGTCACCCCCTTACAACCATGTGAAGTGGCCCGGGAGACCCCACCCACCAGTCTGGGCGTCAGACCTTCGCAGCCTCCCGGCGGCGCCACGCCGAGGCTCACGCCTGCCACACGTGTGTCCCAACACGCCTTGGCCGCTGGGGCCTGTCTGCGGCGGCGGGCGGAGCCCTGTTCCCAAGGGTCTGTCAACTCCTTGGGCCCTGGCAGGCACCTGGGCCCTGCCGGCCCACCCTGCGCTTCTGGCACCGCCGCCCCTCGGCCCTCTCCTCCCGCCCCACCCCACCCCCAGTGGTCTGACTGGTTCCCAACAAAACACCCTAAGAATGAGCTCACGGAGAGGCCTCCGCCTCCACACGCCCCACCTTGCCCGCCCCGCAGAGGAGGTGCTCTTGGCCGGGTGGCAGCCTGGGGCTCTGAGCCAGGCCTCCGGGGTCCCCGGGAGGCCAGCGGGTGAGCTGACCAGGACAGCTCAGGGCCTCTTTGGGCCCATGGTACACGGTCAGGGTGGGAGTTGCTAAGCCAGGGGGCGTATTTCCAGGTGGGCGGGCCCGGATGGGGACGCAGCTGGGTGAGGCCCTGCTGGTCAGTGGGCGTCACGGCGAAGGGGCTGCCCGGCTTGGCAGTGGTTCCCCAGCCCTGGCCTCCCCCGCCCCCAGGAGCGGCCATGTCTGTGCAGGTGGCAGCGCCCGCGAGCACGGGCCTGGGCCCTGAGCGCCTGAGCCCGGAGGAGCTGGTGCGGCAGACGCGGCAAGTGGTGCAGGGGCTGGAGGCCCTGCGGGCGGAGCACCGCGGCCTGGCCGGGCACCTGGCAGAGGCCCTGGCGGGGCCAGGCCCAGGGGCTGGCTTGGAGCTGCTGGAAGAAAAGCAGCAGGTGGTGAACCACTCCCTGGAGGCCATCGAGCTGGGACTGGGGGAGGCCCAGGTATGGAGGGGCCGCTGTGGGGGGCTGGCTGGGGGCGTGGGGGGGGTCTCAGGGCAGGCCTAGAAGGGGGAAGGCTATAGGGCCGAGATGGGGTGCCTTGGGCAGTGACAAGGTCCCCTTCACCAGATGCAACAATTCCTCCTCAGAACTGCGGGGTCAGCGGTGGGCTCTGGCATCGCCTTGTCCTCATGCCCATGCTGGGTGGCTCCCTGGGCAGGAATTCGGCCACTGAGCCCCTCTGCAGGGGTCTCTAAGGACTGGGGGGGCCTGGATAGAATGGGCTGAGCCGCCCCCGCCCCCCGCAGGTGCTGCTGGCCCTGTCCGCACACGTGGGCGCACTGGAGGCCGAGAAGCAGCGGCTGCGGGCGCAGGCCCGGCGCCTGGCGCAGGAGAACGCGTGGCTGCGGGAGGAGCTGGAGGAGACACAGCGGCGGCTGCGGGCCAGCGAGGAGGCCGTGGCGCAGCTGGAGGAGGAGAAGGGCCACCTGGAGTTCCTGGGCCAGCTGCGGCAGTATGACCCGCCCGCGGAGAGCCAGGTGCGTGGGGACCCGTGTCCCCGACCGTCTGCGGAGCCCTCGAGCCCTCAGGAGAAGCCCAGGGCCCTGCCCCCAGCCCCCAGCCCCACTCAGGCCTGAGCTGAGATGGCTCTGTCAGTCCCCAGCCCACACCGTCGCCCCTGCCTGTGCTCTCTGCAGCAGCCCGACTCCCCCCCTCGCCGAGACAGCCTGGCCTCCCTGTTCCCCAGTGAGGAGGAGGAGGAGAGGAAAGGTGGGTGTCGGGGAGCTCGGCCAAGGAGGACAAAAGGCGGAGGGCAGTGGGCCCTGGCCTCTGCCGGGCGTCGGGGTGGGGTGGAGCAGGCGGGGTGGCGGCACGCAGGTGATGAAGCTTCGAGGCCAGCAGCCCCGTCGCACCCCGCAGCCCAGCCGGACGGGCGCAAGTTGGGGGTCTCGGGTGCCAGGTGGGCAGCGGTGACCCTGGCGTGAGGCCAGCATGACGGGCCCACTCTCCCAGGTCCTGGAGCGGCAGGGGCGGCGGCAGCTCAGCAGGGCGGCTACGAGATCCCCGCCCGCCTGCGGACCCTGCACAACCTCGTGATCCAGTACGCGGGGCAGGGCCGCTACGAGGTGGCCGTGCCGCTGTGCCGCCAGGCGCTCGAGGACCTGGAGCGCAGCTCTGGCCACTGCCACCCCGACGTGGCCACCATGCTCAACATCCTGGCGCTGGTGTACAGGTGAGCCTGCAGCCACCCACAGTTGGCGGGGGGAGTGGAGTCGGCTGTGCCAGGGGTGCAAGCTGGGAGGTGCCTGCCACTCAGGCGAGGTCCGAGACTGGAGTCTGGGCGTACGGCATCCCTATGCCACATCCAGGAGGTGCCCCCCTCCAAAGGGCACTGCCCGGCTCACCGCCCTCCGCCACTGGGCTGCCCACAGGGACCAGAACAAGTACAAAGAGGCCACAGACCTTCTGCACGACGCCCTGCAGATCCGGGAGCAGACACTGGGCCCTGAGCACCCCGCGGTGAGTGGAGGCAAGGGCGGGTGGGGGGCGGTCGGGTGGGGCCTCCCCGCTCTGACCTGCCGCCCTCTGCAGGTGGCGGCCACCCTCAACAACCTGGCGGTGTTGTACGGGAAGCGGGGGCGTTACCGGGAGGCAGAGCCCCTGTGCCAGCGTGCCCTGGAGATCCGGGAGAAGGTATCGAGGAGGAGATGAGAGATGATTGATGATGATGATGGAGATGGAGGAGGAGATGGAGATGGAGATGCAAGTATGCTAGTAAGCTAGAAAGGTAGTAAGCAAGAAAGCTAGAAAGGTAGTAAGCAAGAAAGCTAGAAAGGTAGTAAGCAAGAAAGCAAGAAAGCAAGAAAGCAAGAAAGCTAGAAAGCAAGAAAGCAAGAAAGCTAGAAAGCTAGAAAGCAAGAAAGCTAGTAAGCTAGAAAGCAAGAAAGCAAGAAAGCTAGAAAGCAAGAAAGCAAGAAAGCTAGAAAGCAAGAAAGCAAGAAAGCTAGAAAGCAAGAAAGC